GTCCGCAGCGTGCAAATGGAGGATCCATGGACTTCGTCGGAGTCGTTACCAGAAGAAGCGCATAAAGTCCCACCGCAGCAGCGAATACCTCTCCGATCTGTGACGTCTTTACCCGCCCTATACCAGTGCGAATCGTTCACCATCGACGACGGAGAGAACGCTCTATTGACGTTGTTTGCGGAGAAACTCCTGGTCTACGGCATTGCCTTCGTTCTGTTGGTCCTGACGGTACTGGTTACCATGCTGCTTCTGCTATGATAAAGAAATAAAACTTGCACAGTACCCCCGAGCTTGACTCGCGTGTCGTACCTAGCGATGTTGCTACTATTTTCGCTTCTGACCGCGATCGAAGCGTCCTATATAGACAGAATAGAGCTCCATCACGTTTGTTGGGAGCCTTGTCCGAACGTAACGGATTACCGTATATTGCCGCGTATAAGACGACCTTTTTTTTCCAGAAATGGGTGTCTCAAATTAGAGGGTGCGGATTCGATCGACCTATATGCGGGTTTACACGCATTCTGAGCCGAATGAAGGGTTCTAGGGACTTTTCCCTACATAACGACATAGTTTCGTATTCGTAGTGAAAGACAACGTCTGGGTGACTTTATTTCGGAACTTAAAACATATTTTTAAGTCTAGTTATATATTTAAACAACAGAGAAATATTATACTGGCAAGAAAAAGCGCTCATCACTGCCCGAGAAACTCAGTCGGAACTTCGTAGGGAAAATGTCTGATTTTGTCCCTAGGCACGCCGAAAAGAAAACGCGCGCACCATCGTCGCCATCTTTCCTTTCTTGGCTCGTTCAGAAGACTGCGTCGGACGAAAATGCCACCGCAAGCTCGCCGCCAGTACAGCGCGTTGTTTAAACGAAAAGTCATCCTCTTCGCCGAAGCGGAAAACAACGTAGCAGCTGAGCGGCACTTCGGCGTCTCTGAAAAGTGTGTTAGGGGATGGCGGCGGCAACGCGATCAAATCTTCGCATGCGCGGGTACGCGACGCTCCTTTCGTGGTCCCAAGCAGGGACAGTATCCTGCCGTCGAAGAGGCTGTCCGAAAGTGGGTCGGTGACCAACGAAGCAAAAGCCTCAGTGTTTCCTATGAAGATATTGAGTGCAAGGCACGTGCAGTTGCTACGGAACTGAACATTGCGCGCACCGAGTTCAAGATCTCGAAGAAGTGGGTGACCAACTTCATGAAGCGCAACGGGCTAAGCCTGAGAAGGCGAACGACTGTGTGCCAGAAGCTGCCGGATGCCTACGAGGACAAGCTGCAGGAGTTCCATCGCTACGTTGATGACCTCCGAACGCAGAACAGCTTCATGCTCGGCCAGATCGGCAACGCTGATCAGACGCCGGTTGGGTTCGACATGCCGAGCAGAAGAACCGTCGCCGAAAAGGGTTGTCGCCAGGTGAATTTGCTGACGACGGGGAACGAACACAATCGCTTTACCGCGATGTTGTGCTGCACGGCCGATGGCCACAAGCTGCCCCCGTACCTGGTGTTTAAGCGGAAAACGATGCCCAAAAACGAACAGTTTCCGCCGAAGGTGATCGTTCGCGTCAACGAGAAAGGTTTTTTCAATGAGGAGACCGTCTTGGAGTGGTTTCGGCTCGTCTGGTGTAGGCGTCCGGGTGCCCTCTTAAAGCCCCGGAGCATGCTCGTTCTGGATTCTTTCCGTGGACACATTACGGACCGTGTCAAGAAGTCGATCGCCAACGAAGGATGCGACCTGGTCATCATCCCGGGGGGGGTTGACATCCGTCGTTCAACCCCTTGACGTGGTTCTTAACAAGCCCTTCAAGGACCGCGTCGGGGCCTTCTACAACGAGTGGATGGCCCAGGCGGACAACCCTAAGACGCCGACAGGTCGTGTGAAGCGTGCCTCGTTGAGCACTGTGGCCCAGTGGGTGAACGACGCCTGGTATGGGCTGCCTGCGGACATGGTCCGTGCAGCGTTCTCCAAGTGCGGGATTTCAACGCCGCTTCCCCCGTCCGGCCCCTCTGACCCACAAGGCAGCGACAGCAGTGACTGCGTCATCGTCACAAGCGACGACGAGTGAGGCACGAGCTCATAGGGAGACCTCATCTACCTCTATGTGAATAAATGTGATATTCCTTTAGCATAACTTGCATCTTTGAAAAAAAAAAAAAACTTTTTTTCGGTTGGCGGTTGTCCAACATTAGGGGGGTCGACTTATATTCGGATCGTCTTATATGCGGCAATATACGGTACATGCCCTCCGAGATTTTATATCGCGGCGCGATCTCGTTGTACGACTATAGAAAGAGTCGGAAAGGATCATTTGGGTGTCCGCAGACTCCCCTGCTTCGCATCGACAACAAGCTGTTTGACTTTGGTGCACATTTCAATCTATCCGAAAACGGATGGGGCGTCTACGTTCTGGAAACGCCGGAGCCGCACTTGCACTTGTGTACAGACTCGCCTCCACCGCTTAAAGTGCTGTGCAATATGCGCAAAGGCTACTACGAAATCTTTGACAGCAATCCGCCGGTTCACCCGTACATTTACGAAGAGTGTAAAACGCCTCGCATGCCGTACGATTACTATAGAAAGAGTTACTTGCAGTGTACGAAGCGACGACACTACATCGGAAGTGGCGAATATGTGACCTTGAAGTGCGGCGACACCGTTCAATACTACATTTGCGGAAAACGGGGCATCTACCGCTACTCGTTCACATTGAGTAAGCGACAAGGAAGCGATTCAAAGAGTGTGTGTAACGACGTCGATTACGTGCTCCGACAACTCAACGAACGCCCCGATAGTACTACAGAGGAGGTCGAAGGTAGCGGTGACGACGACGACACGCGAGTGGACGACGAGGACTTTGTTACTACTACTCCTACTACTACTACTACTACTACTCCTACTACTCCTACTACTACTACTACTCCTACTACTACTACGACGCGCAGAGATACAAAGTCTACAGGTTGGTGGTCAACCACCACCACAACAACAACAATAACAAATGCAACGGTCGAATCCACAAATAATGGGGGGAAACAAATCGCGGGGACTTTGACGGTAGTTATAGCGTGCGTCATCTTGACGATCGTCGTACGATAGATCTACAACAAGACCAGCCCGATACAATCGTAGAATTTGTTTTATTGGGGGACCACGATCGTCATTCCATATTCTCGATTCGGGTTATACGTGACACCGACCAGATACACTCTGCAGACTCTGCAGACTGCATGATTTACCCGCAAAGTCTACCGGTTCTGCTCCATATGCTGCGCACCAACAAGACGCTCGCGTACTTGGAGATGTCGGCATATTTAACTGCGGAAGACTACGGACAAATTGCGTCCGCCATGTCCAAGAGTATTCTCAGACTCTATGCAAAACGCATACGAGGACTTTGGAGTTGGCGAGGTGCTTCGCCAAAACCTTCTGAGAATGAACAGGGCCGTCGAGTTTGTAACCGACCCGGAGGACTTTGTCGAGTGCGAGTGTGTACGTGACTTTGAAGACGTGCTGGACACCGCCTCGTTTGCAAGGCACTTCGCTCAGGGTCATCCCCAAGACAATAGCTGCTTGCCATCGATGTTGGCGTGCGCCAAGCGGTGTATCAAAGAATGTTTTTTCGAATTTAGCGGAATTTGCAGAGACAAAGTCGCTGTGCGAGTCGAGTGGCAAGCCTATTTTAAACTACGAGTGTTGGCAGCACGTCTTTTCTTTTCTCACTCTCAACAGCGTGGTGTGGTGAATAAAAATGTACAATTCGTACTCTACTTGGTGGTGTATTTATCGACCTGACTAGAGCAACAAGTCTGCTGTAGAGTAGCAGTTATTAGGCCCTCTTCTCATTAATGGCATTGGTAAAAATATTAACCCATGCAGATGAATTGACATTTCTAATTACTGATACCGACCCGATCGACCTGATATCAGAATCAAATAGTTCTTGCATAAATATATAAAGATGCATGCACGCGCAATGTCTACTGGCGCATGCATCTCTTTTCATATATGCTTTTTTTTACCCGAGAAGGCGTGCAAGTGATTAAACTCCATGCTTTTAGAGCGTTGCCTCGAGCCCAGCTTTTTTTTTTTCTGGACGACGGCCAGAGTTTCTAGAGCGCAATCGTCTGCCTCGATGCAGGCCGACAAGTGTTCCAGACCACTCGGGCCGTCATCTTACATAACTATTAACATTTAATCAAACATAAGGAGAGAGCATAAAGATCTTTATTTGATATCCTTTAGTTTCAAATACGAGGCGACCGCCTCCCAACATTCTCTGTTTAAAAATGGAAGGGCACACACAGACATTTCACGGTCACATATTCCTGCCAGTTGAAAAAAGTTTTCACGAATGTACCGGCGAGCCCGCGCCAAGACGTCCACTGCACTCGAGTTGACATTCACACAACAGCCGTCGTTGGGCGTAGATGGTGATGGGGCGCCTACATCGCACAGCAGAGATTCCAGAGCCCGCACGTCGTACATGTCCGGAGCAGCATCCGCGACGCTTGGATCGGCCACAAACTCTGCGGCCCTGTTCAAGAGCCACCTGTTGTGTCGCACTGCCTCTTGTATCACAAACACTCCCGATCCTCTGCGGCGACGGTTGTAATTATCTTTTCGCAGCTCGACACATCGGAGCCGAGAGTTCAGTCCGTCGAAGCCAGCGTAATAATCGAAGCCGTGTGGCGTCGTCGACGTGCACAGTTTAATCAACGTCTCGTTGTTTTTGAAAACTTTGTAGAGACTTCGCAGGGCTCCTGAGCTCGCGACGACACACTTCAACCATTCGAACGATTCTTGTCCGTGGTTTTGCGATAGGCCTTCCAAAACCGTCTTTACGACTGACTGGCGTTCTTGTCCACACGTGACTAGAGTGAGCGTTTTCAGAGTCTTAGAGTCTGCTATGAAAGCGGCCACCTTTTCAGCCACAATGTTCAAAAAGATGGAGAAGATATATACGTGTTGCACGTGCGGGGAGGCGCGGAGGGCGTCAAACGTCTCACCGAGCGCCTGTCCTGTTTACTTCTTGTCCTTGTTCCTGTTGCGCTATTTTATATGTTTTACTAAGTCTCACCGAGATATTGGTGAACCTCACGTGACATTACATGGTCGATGGTTACGTATTTAAATTGTGCCAATAATTCTACATTTATGCGGCTCTTAAGCAAAACGGCCAAATGTAAGCGCTGGCACTGACCTCGGTCGATGGCCAGCTGCGCCAATTCGCCGAAATCTGTCACGTAACCAAGCCTCATGACGTGTAGGCTCTTGTTGATAGATAGAGCCTCTATCAAAGCCCGTAGGCTGCGCGTAGACAAGGCTAGGTTATCTCTTTGATTAATTTCGATTAAAGACCGATTATGCGCAACGACCTCAGCCAGATAGGATGCCGTATCGTCGGTTAGGTTGGTGAAATTGAGATCGAGCGTCTCGATCATGCAATTTGTCTTCATCAACAATCGCGCCAATTCGACGACGGCCTCGTTCTGGAAGGAAACGCCAATCAACTTTAGGCGTCTGATAGACTTCATTGCGCGCAGAAAATCGGCCTCTATTATACCTCCGGTAAAGTGCAAGATTTTGAGGGCGCAGCCCGGCCTCTCTAGCATCGCTTGCACGGACCTCAGATCTACAAAATCAGTTTCGTAGCATAACTCCTCCGGTCCGATTTGAAACTCTGATATCCACCTCAACAGGTGATTTGTGAATGCGTGAGACATGGTGGTGATATTTATATTTACGATACGTAGATTACGGAGGTGTTCAATGGCCCGATGCAGATCCATCATGCCCACGGTTACGTACGCCATGTCAGACATGTCGGTTTCCGTGCAAGTTTCATCTACAACCAATTCTCTAATAGACGAATTTTGGTGTATGCCGCACAAAATCAAATCTCTAAACATTACGGTACTTTTGCCTACCAATTTTGAAGCATTTAGTCGAATTACACACAAATGCTGCCTGAAGAGAAGGTACATTATCATGGCCGCCTCCGATTCCTTGGTGTAGTCGATGTCGTCCTCCACGCCTTCGCCCGTGTTCACACATTCTACCGCTAGGCTTTTTGGTGAAATCTCGACAATTTCAAGTCCCACAACAAAAAGTATCGCATTAATTGCAGTTAAGACGCGATGCATTAACAGTAGCCCGCACGTAGACCCGGAACTACATCCCCTCTCCAGTACAGGGAATGCGGTCTTCACGGTCTCGTACATTGTCCACCTGCTGACAGTCTGGAAAAAAAAGAAAAAACCTGTCTATATAATAATTGAATCGAAATACAAAGAAGAAAAGAAATACCTGATGATCGAGCAGAGCAAAACGGAAGACATTCGGACCATCGGCGCCTTTGTCGATTGGCTCAAAGAACATTACATAAAAATGCATTTCAACAAAAGCGAAGACGACGAAGAAGATGATCCGTCTGAGGAAATAGACGATTGGGATCAACAAGACATTGCAGTCGTCTAGTCATTTAACCCACCCTGCGCCATTTCAATTTCACGCTGTGGCGTTCGACTTCCGTCGTCCGCCGCGGGAGATCGACCAGACGGCTCGTCCTTTTTACAAACAGAGGTTTATTACCATCGGCCAGTACGCTTGACGGCTGGGCGAACTGAAGAGTCCTCCTGCTTGCTGCCGCACGCGCTTATATCTTGTCCGCTGAGCCGAGGAGCCGCCCCCCAGGGCGGTGGCGCGTCGTTGGCCGGATGGGCGCGGGGTGGCGGGCCGAGCGCCCACAACGCATAAAAATCGCACCTCCCCCATCACTACCATGTCGACGCGCTACTTACCCAACGTGCTCGGCATTCACCACCAGATAAAGGTGATCTACAGCGTTCAAACGGGTGGCGACGTTCGCAGCATCCTAAACTTGGCGTACAATGATAACGTCTACATAGAGCGCAAGCTGACCGACGGACATATAGAAAAAATGTTTCTCGGTGACGTATTCGTGAGCAAAAACGTTTACTGCGTCTATTCCCTGTACGATGATTAATCTCGAATTCGAGCTGGCCAAACGAGGCTACGACGTCGACACGACCTACAGACTGGGCAAGGGCGGCTCGGAAAAGTCTACGCCGGCAGACGCATCTCTGACAACCTTCCGGTCGCTGCAAAATGCATCGACTCGACCATGGTCTGGCACTGGTCGGAATATCGCGTCCCCATGGAAGTCTCCAACCTCCTCAAAGTCAGAGTAATCTCGGGTGCAATTTACAGGTACGACTGGTTCAAAATCGACCGCGGTGGACCATACGTCATCGTGACCGAGCGTTCCGAAAACGACGTTACCCTCGCAGACTACCTCGACTGCTACAGACTTCGCGAGCGCGAAGCCATTCTACTTTTCATCAAGATAGTCAGAATCGTTTACGACTGCTGGCTACTCTTTGGTCTGCTCCACTGCGACGTCAAAGAAGAAAACGTGCTCGTCGACATCGACACCGGAGACATCAAGCTCATCGACTTTGATTTTGTTCTCCGCGACTCGGACAAACCGAGAACCTCCTTTTGCGGAACTCTCGAATATGCGCCGCCCGAATGGTTCCTAGAGCACGAGTACCTTCCCGAAGCCTCGGCTGTCTGGACTCTGGGTCTCTTATTCTTTAGACTCCTCTTTCACGAGTATCCCTTTCGCAGCTTCCAACAGATACGAGACTTTAGCGATCTAAACTACAACCCAATCTTTATTCGCTATGAGCACACCTTTTCGCTAAACACTATTCGGCTCCTGACCAGACTACTGCGGGTCAAGGGCAAGTCTGGCATGAGGCTAGTCGCCCTCTATAACGAACTTCGTCTCTTGACAAAGTAATCACCACACGTAGGCAAAGAGGTCCGGTATATGTACAATTCTTTATTTACACCTCATAATCTAAACTGTCTAGATATTCTTGTATTTCATCATAGAGAGACACGGTCTTGCTCCGCCGCTCCTGCAAGGATGGAATCTTGTGACCTGTAAATAAAGGAATATATACAAATTAAAGACCTCTTTCCTCGTTCTAGATGGTCTTACTCGCCGAGGCGGTCTAGGACGTTCTTTTAATAGCATCCCGATTTTTACGAGACGCGTCGGATCTTCCATCCCATCAGATACACTCTGCTAGAAAAAAAAGATACAACAAGGAGTTATATATGTACACTCATTTTTTGGGGGAAGGATGACCTCCTCGTCGAGCTCTTCAGTCGCCGTCACAACTTTCGCCACCACCTTATTCACCAGGTCCACAAGCAGGCATTTGACCTCCTCCTCTTCTTCGTCTCCTTCGTGTTGGCAATTGTATTCACACATGGCCTGATGTAGAGCAGTTTCGAAGAAATCTTCTACTTTGTTGCTTTCAGTCTTTTTTGTAGACCGAATCAATCAGGTCGGCTACCATTGCCACGTCCTCGTCTGTCATATCTTCACCCGTAACGCTCGAAGGAGTGACTGGAACGTCGTCGTTTACGGTGATGGCCACTAGTTGTTGTAAAGTGGTAACAGACTCGTATTCTCTTTCCAGCTGCTCCTCCCAGGAAAAGGACGGGGTAGAGCACGGTTCCGCTTCCGACAGTCTTGACAGAGCTTTAAATGCGCTCTGCATCGGTGAAAAATACGTAGTCTTTTTAAGCGGTGTTGTCAGCAATTGACGTAATAACGAATTAGTCTTCACTCGCCTCAGACCATGTCGAGGAGGAGTCATCTCCAAAAGGTGCCTTAGAAAGGTGATGAGCCATCGGTGGACTAAATGCCGATTGAAGCGATGGTGGACGAAATCCAGAGTGAAGCGATGATGAATAAATATCTGTCGACATCGTCTGCCGATGGTCATTCGATAATACAGAATGAGTGGTGGCTACCGCCGCCGCCGCCACTGGTACTTGTTCCTGATGCCACGTAAATGGGACGTGCACTTCATCGTATTGCCGCAGCGCCGACATTGACGAGGGCAGAAATCGCACAGACTGTGGTGCCACTAGCGCATCTTGACCATGCACCCACGTCGCCGGTAGTGGCAATGTTGGTTGGAAGCACGGTCTGTGCCTCCGCCACTGGCACTGTCGGAAAGACATTCTGTGGTGTCGGCACTGGCACTGTTGGAAAGAGAGTCTGTGCCTCCGCCACTGGCACTGTCGGAAAGACATTCTGTGGTGTCGGCACTGGCACTGCTGGAAAGAGAGTCTGTGCCTCCGCCACTGGCACTGTCGGAAAGACATTCTGTGGTGTCGGCACTGGCACTGTTGGAAAGAGAGTCTGTGCCTCCGCCACTGGCACTGTTGGAAAGAGAGTCTGTGCCTCTGCCACTGGCACTGTTGGAAAGAGAGTCTGTGCCTCCGCCACTGGCACTGTTGGAAAGAGAGTCTGTGCCTCCGCAACTGGCACTGTTGGAAAGAGAGTCTGTGCCTCCGCCACTGGCACTGTTGTATGCACAGTGTGTGGCATCAACATTGGCACTGATGGGAGCACAGCCTCTGGCGCCGACACTGGCACTCTTGGGAAGACAGTCTCTGGCGCCGACAGTGATGGAAGCACAGTCTCTGGCACCAGCACTGATGGAAGCACAGTCTCTGGCACCGGCACCGGCGATCCTGTATGTACAGTCTGTGGCACCAGCACTGATGGAAGTAGTCTCTGGCACCGGCGATCCTGTATGTACAGTCTGTGGCACCAGCACTGATGGAAGTACAGTCTCTGGCACCGGCGATCCTGTATGTACAGTCTGTGGCACCAGCACTGATGAAAGCAGTCTCTGGCACCGGCAATGTTGTATCTACAGTCTGTGGCACCAGCACTGATGGAAGTACAGTCTCTGGCACCGGCAATCTTGTGTGTAGAGTCTGTGGCACCAGCAGTGATGGAAGCACAGTCTCTGGCACTGGCACCGGCAATGTTGTATCTACAGTCTGTGGCACCGGCACCGGCAATGTTGTATCTACAGTCTGTGGCACCGGCGATCTTGGATACAGAGTCTCTGGCGACGGCGGCAGTATGAGCTGCGACGGCGACGTCCTGAACTGTGATGGAGAAAATGAGAGCTCGAGCTGCGGTGTTGATGGTGATGAAGATGGAGATTCTGGATGTGGCAGCTCGGACTCGGGCTCTTGCAGGAGCGGTTCGGCATTGGGCGATGCCTCCGGCACGATCGGAAGTTCGGGCGAAAAGGGTAATACTTCCGAGTTGATTGTGGAAGGAGATGCCGCTGGTCCGGTGAACGACGAACACTCCGAGAGCCGCGGACTCTCTGGTAGTGGCGTTAACGGCGGCAGGATCGGAGGCTCGGGTGAGGGGGTTAATGATTCCGCGTTGACCGCGGAAGAAGATACCACCGGTCTGGTGAAAGACGAGCACTCCGACTCTGACAGCCAGGGACTTTCTGGTAGTGGCGTTGACGGCTCGTCCGACCAGAACGGACTTTTACTTTTTTGGGCTTCGACCATTTCGTCGTCCGTCGAATCCGATAGAATTTGTCTCCGACGTTTCACAATGGGCCTAATTAGAGAATGTGGAGATGATGTCGAAGAAGATCCGTTCTGGTCGTCATCCGAGTCGATATCAATAATTTCGTTTTCGGAATCGTATACAGGTTTCTGTGGAATCGGTCCGCTGTCAGAATCGGAGTCTAGACAATTCTTCCGTTTTTTGAAAGAAGAGATGTACCGCACGATTTGTTCTTCCTCGCTGTCCGACGAATCAATTTTGGATTTTGGCACTCCTGCGTTCTTCAATACCATCTTGGTTGCAATATCCAATTCGTCATCGTCCGAATAAGAGTCTTTGTTGCCAGATTGGACGCTTTCAGATTTTTTCGCGGAGCCCGGACTACTAATCGAGTCGTCCTCGATCCCTTCAAACACCTCCTGGCTAGACAACGTGGCAAATACCAATCGCTGTTCGTCGCCGGTAGACGTTGACTCAGCAACAGGTTGCTGGAAGCGAATCGTTGTCCAAACCGTGTCCATGATAGAAGCGTTTTTGAAAAACCTGCTCGGCATCATGGTATTGGCCACGTTCATCGACGTGGCCAGGAGGGTCGGACATTGCTTCGACCATAGGTCGAGCAATTCCTCGGTCAGCACCTCGTCCTGCCTCGTACTGAAATAGATGAAGAGACCGAGGACGAATGGCCACAGAGTGGTCGCATCGAAATATTTCTTCACAAATGCTTCGACGGTCGCCTCGTCTTCGAAATTGCACAGGTGCATAACGAAGACGCGGCGACTAGACTTTTGAGAAATTTTGGTCACTACTTTGGTATATTCGGTCACGCAAGAGAAACCGAGAAAGGTTTTTAAAGCCTTAATGTTTTTTGGAGTTTTAAGAGTATCATAATTATCCAGGCGGCCGTAATTCTGGTCCTCGTGCGACGCCATGTTATGACATACTATAGTCGGTTACAAGTCAAGAAGGTAGTGGCAAAAGCCCCTCAAAGGGAATCTTGTATTCCTCCGCCACCAATCGCGTCCTGTTGTTTCCGTGACGTCACGAACTGCCCGAACCAATCTTGTTCTGGCAAATGAATATTTTCAACATGGCTGCCGGGCAGATTTTCTACGACTCGAGTATCTTGCAGCAATTATTCTGTTCTTAATGCGGTTTTTCACTTACCCGAGCATACGTCGCTAAGTCGTAACCGCCTCCACTTTTATTCGCAATAGGTTCTGCGCGACAGCGTGAGAATCCAGCGATAGCATTGCCATAGAAAATTTCGATGCGGGAGTAAGGCCTAGCATCGTACATACGTCGAACGCCGTCTGCTTCTCTGCCTCGGGTTGCGCCTCAACATCGTGAAGGCATCGGCTTTTCTTCGCAGTGGTTTCCGTGGAGCGACGTTAAAATGCAGCGGTCACCAAACTCTTCTTTATAAGTGTAGTGGGCTGTGCGGGAGGGGCATAAGTGAACCGCGAACACAGTAAGTGTCTTTACCCAATTTCGACCGTACCTTTGCTGGCGTTAATAAATAGTCTGTCTAATGAAATGACGCTTTCGAAGCAGTATGCATTCATCTGTGAAACGTGGTGTCCTTGTCAAGTTTCCGCGTCGCAATCGGCTGCACGGTAATCTATGAGTGCGATAGTACCCGCGGGTACACCCTCGTTCGCAATAATGAGCTGTTACATACAGGTGGCACACAAATGATAAAGCCAGTGATGCGTATGTTACAAACATTTAATTGATATTGTTTTGGACGTTAAGAGGGAAGCAGATTCGGTTCTCTCAAATGCTTCCGAACATTCTGCTTGCTCTCGAGGCGCTGTCAGTCGTATGTTTATGCTTCGAAACCCGGGTACGTGACGCCTGTACCTCCACTCGCTTTGCGTCGCGGCCTGAGGTATTACCGGTAAACACGCACCAATTTTTCCAATTTACTTAAGAAGGAAAATGTGTCCACAATACTGGATCGCAGCGTTGGTTTAATAATTTTTAAAAGATGAAAGGTATGGTCAATAAAAATTGATTGTAAGGGCAGTTTCCTGCTTCATGAATTGTGGCTTTCTTATATGCGAAATATTTGTTTAAATCAAGAATTGAAAACATACTGAATACTCTTGATCTTGGTCCGAATGCAGGTGGCAGAATGATTTGTCTTTATAACAATAAAATCAACAATGTTTGAATCAATTCAACAGCTCAAACCGCCTAATTGCATTTCTGATGTATGTTTATCTCTGGATCATACCAGGCCGTAGCCGCGAACGAGCTCTTCAGAATTTGCCATCGTCTTTCTGGTCTACCTTGGCAAAGACAGACTCGTGTAAAAACATTGAGCTTCTTGGAGGCAACCTTGCAGTCCTCATTGTCAGAGCCTCCATGGAACCATTGGAAAGAAGGGT